GCAAACAGGGCCATACACACGAGTGACGTCACACAAACAGGGCCATACACACGAGTAACATCACACACAGTACCATACACACGAGTGAGTCATGCAAACAGTGCCATACACTTGAGTGATGTCACACAAACAGGGCCATACACACGAGTGACGTCACACACAGTACCATACACACGAGTGAGTCATGCAAACAGGGCCATACACACGAGTGACGTCACACAAACAGGGCCATACACACGAGTAACATCACACACAGTACCATACACACGAGTGAGTCATGCAAACAGTGCCATACACTTGAGTGATGTCACACAAACAGGGCCACACGAAAGGACGCCACACACAGCAACATACACACACGAAAGACACACAGTACCATACACACGAAAGGAGTCAAAACAGGGCCATACACACGAAAGGCCACACAAACAGGGCCACACACATTTGCAACATCACACACGCACCATACACACGAGAAAGAGAAACAGCAAACAGTGCTATACACTTGAGGACAGTCACACAAACAGGGCTACACGAGTGACGTCACACAAACAGTACCATACACACGAGTGACATCACAAACAGTACCATACACACGAGTGACATCACAAACAGTACCATACACAGGAGTGACGTCACACAAACAGGGCCATACACACAAGTGACATCACACAAACAGTACCATACACACAAGTGACATCACACAAACAGTGCCATACACATGAGTGATGTCACACAAACAGGGCCATACACACAAGTGACATCACACAAACAGTACAATACACACGAGTAACATCACACAAACAGTACCATACACACGAGTGACGTCACACAAACAGTGCCATACGCATAAGCGATGTCCCTCAAACACATAACGTGCCATACGCACGAGTGATGTCATACTAACACGACCACAGAGACCCCACAGTCAATGTAGGGACTCATTACACTACTGATGTCACAAACACTACTGCGGCGCCCTTACTTACAAGACGTTACTTAGCTGTCACAATCCTTTATTTTCTAACAGAAAGAGCACTTCACTAGTTCTTATTTCTTATTTTCACACACACACACCAGCCTTTTTGAACTTGGCGATCTAGTCTGGCTGTACGCTTTGATCACTACTTCTCCGGTGTGTTCGCACGAATGTTATTGACACTGAGGCCGCTGCTATCTGACACGGGTTCTCGCGGACTGCCCGTAATGAATGGAAACACTCTTACGCGCTTGTCTGAACAATTTTGGCACCGAGACCAGTCTTTTCTGACACCAGTTCTAGCGATTGCCAGTGCGGTTATCTACAATGAACACTAACACTCGCGCGATCATCCGAACAATATTGACACGAAGTCCAGAATTTTCTGACAAAGGCCCTCTTCCTACCGGTCCATGCGATGACGCAATCCTCGGCAGCTCCCACAATGGTCCTATCCCACGTTTTGACTGCAATCCCTCAAAGGAGCGATTTTGGTTTGTGCAGGACAATAAGACCCTTGTCGTTGACGTGATGAGTATAATTCGGTCAAAACCTGTTGAATACATTACACATATAACAACAGCTGATACATCAGGACACACAGTTTGAATAATACGATCAATATACAGTACATAATTACACTTATTAAAGTTATTTAGAGTTCTTAGAGGATTCAACAGTTCACAATCACACTCACGTTTTGGGGTCTAGGGTTAGACCAACGAGAGCAAATATAATGTCCTGCAGGAAGATGTTGGCTGACGAGAATCAAGATGTACAGTAGAAGGCGATAGTCTGTCCTTCAGGCTGTCACACAGCTACTACCAGCTTCATCTCGCTTAGTAAGCTATTCTGAGGTGTAAACACTATACAGTCTCTTCACTTAACATGTGGCCAGCGTGCAATTGTGCGTGGCGATAACAATTACCTTATATACTATACAGGGAGTTTTGCTATAACGCGTGTTTTGACAACACGAATTGGCTCTAACGCGATTGATGAATAGAGGAACAATATATATAAAACGCGAACGCGTTTGCTCTAACGCGATTCCACTCAAACGGTTGTTGTGGCTTGGCGAAGGGTTATGCAGTGTTTACAGTTCACATTCGACATCACATGTTCAATTGAGTTATGTGTTTTGTTTGTGAACAGTTGCAGAAATAATTTATGTAATATTTATGTATACAGTATACCTGTATAGTATATGTAAATGGTAAAATTTTAAATAAAAGAGAAAATCAAATTACGTAGCGTTTTACACCCGCGCTCTGTTTACACCACACAGTGTTTACAGTTCACGTTTGACATCACATGTTCAATTGATTTATGTGTTTTGTTTGTGAAGAATTGCAGAAATAATTTAAGTAATATTTATGTGTGTGTGATGTAAACAGAGTGCTTGGCCTCTCTCTCTCTCTCTCTCTCTGTATGGATGGAATTCGTGGTTTAGAGTGAGTGATACGAATGTCGTAACATTACTAGGCTGAAGGCGCCTGAATACTACTTAAACACATCAAAACTATGTTAATTGATCACTGTATAATAAATTCATTCACTCATAATTTCAAATTCTCTTATCATCCTGTGTTATATACAGAAATACTTGAGTCCCTGAGCGAGTACACAAAAAGAAAACGGAGGACTAGGACATCCTGGAGTGGATAGAGAACGGACATCTCTACTGGGGGGACTCAAACGTTTGTCATGTTTTGTGGGCGCTGTAGCATAATATGAGTAATATGTAAATTACAATATATATATATATATATATATATATATATATATATATATATATATATATATATATATATATATATATATATATATATATATATATATATATATATATATATATATATATATATATATATATATATATATATATATATATATATATATATATATATATATATATATATATATATATATATATATATATATATATGCTATATATATATATATATATATATATATATATATATATATATATATATATATATATATATATATATATATATATATATATATATATATATATATATATATATATATATATATATATATATATATATATATATATATATATATATATATATACTGTATATGTAAATTGTAAAAATTTAAATAAAAGAGAAAACTAAATACAGTATGTAGCGTTTAAAGTGTACAGGTTGACCATCAAAAATCCGGCAATCGATAAACCGGAACCTTCAGTTTTCCGGCATGGATTTCCGAGCGCATTTTCAAATATTTCTTTGTTTATTTAACGAAGATATATGTTTTAGCTCATAAAATTCATACAAATTACCCGGCCAGAATATAATTTACATTGCTGGAATTCTTACAATTTGATGATCATTTTGAATATAAACATCATAGATTTTGCATTAGACATACAAATTTTAGATATAATGTATACTCTGAGTAAATATGTTATCTTTTGTGCAAAATATATGACATTTATATTCAAAATATTCCTGGTCTTACAAGGAATCCAGCAATGTCAATTATATTTGTATGTATATTATGTATGCTGGATTATATATTATGTATGTATATTATGTATGTGCTCCATTTATGTATTATTTATTCAGCCTAGCTAGCAGCGTGTGGCAATGTTATTACCATATCCCACATGCTTAATTAATGTGCCTGGCGACGTATGGAAGCTGCTAATGTATCACTTGCCATACGTCGTCTATAGCAGTTGACAAGCAGCCAGGTTGAGGAGAGCACTACCCCCCTTGTGTACATATCTCTTATCCAGTAAATCGAACCTACAAAACTATACAGGTGTTTGTGTTCTCTCCTGTATATTGAACTTATTATCCAGAACCTAACAATATTATCCTAACTTAAGTGTTTAATTTTCTTTGTTTAAAGGACTGTACAGGTAGTCATTTTCTGTTAAACTTATACAGCAAATATAACCATCAGTTTTCCGGCATTTTCGAAAATCCGGCACACCTCAGATCCCGAGGTTGCCGGATTTTTGATAGTCAACCTGTACTGTACAGTGTTGTGGCTTGGCGCGGGGTTATGCAATGTTTACAGTTCACATTCGACATCACATGTTGAATTGATTTATGTGTTTTGTTTGTGAGCAATTGCAGAAATAATTTATGTAATTTTAAATAAGAGAGAAAAGCAAAATACGTAGCGTTTTAGACCCGCGCGCTCTGTTTACACCACACGATCAGTCTGAAACACGTGTGAAGTTTTTAAGCATCCTCAGGGATTTCTGACTACTGTTTCTCCAATTTTGTGACTATGGAAAAGAAGAATATCTTCGGGAAGCATTTTGGTGATCGCATTTCTGGTGGTGATCTTAAAAGAAAGGCTATAACACTTGAAGAAAAGCTTGATGTTGTCAATTGTTTTGAAAATAAGGAAAGAACATGTGATATTGTGCGTGCAACGGGAATAAAGGAGTCTACTTTACGCACCATTAGAGACAATGCAGCAAAGATTAAAGCAAGCTGTATTGCTGGAAAAACCTTGGGTGCTAGCAAAAGTGTGAGATCACGGCCAAAGGAACTTGAGATGGCATGGCTTCTTAGTGTTTGGATAGAAGATCAAACAAAAAAGCGATCTGGGACCAGTACATGAGGACCTAAAGAGAAACTGCACCTGATATTGATGATGACGATGACAACTGTCAAATCCTGTCTGCATGACTCCTCAACCTCAACAGCAACCTTCTCCCCCATCAAGTTATATTCATATTTTTTCAAGGTAAAGTGTAATATTTACTGTATTAATTCATTATTGGATATGAATGTAACATTTGTTTAGACTGTGCTATCCTTTGTGTTAGGCTGACTATGAAATTATTTTCAATCTGGAGTAATCTGCACCTAACCCTATTTTCTCCATAAGCCCTGTTATTTCTATTACGCGAATTTCTATAACACGATGTTTTACAAGAACACAACTATCGCGTTATAGCAGAACTGACTGATACTTGTGTATAATCTAACCCTAGCTTTTGAGAAATAGAGAGAGTACTGCACTTACCAATTATAGGGTCAACTCTTTCCTCTAAATAGGCCTCAAAAAGTCTGTCCTGCAGCTCTGTGTAAGTGCGACTTGCTTGTTCTACAGCTTCCTTGACCTGAAGAAAATTTTACATAAATTGTTGTGAGCTTCATCATGCTAATTGTAATCTAGATATGTTTTAAGAATAAATAATACATTACAGTTTATGTAACAGTTTACTCATCAGCTTCCTATATGATTTAACCCATAAATGTCAGCTAACAGAAGAATATTGGTTAATAGAGGAGACATTATTCACTTCAAAAAAAATTTAAACAATATCTTACAAAAATTAAAGGGCTAGAATATATTTCTATCTGTTTTTATAGTTCATAAATTGTTAGATGAAACAAGCTGCCTTTTTTATTTGTAGTTGTTACACCAACCACAGTGTCTTTGCCATGAGGTCATTGCCTTCCTACAACAACAAAACTTCAATAACTGCCGGTTCAAAGGGTATTTACTTGCTATTCCTCTAAATGATCTCATTTACTCCAGCTTCCTCCTGTACTAACACTACTATAGCACTGAAGATAAATAAACTCATCAGGAAGAATGGGGGAATATACAAGCCATTGTCTTCCTTCCTCAATCAGTGGTAATTTTAAATAAATAAAAAGATTTAAAAAAATCACCCGAATGCACTTACTTCTTCCTGGGGATACGAAGCTCTCACTAAGGAATCCGACAGTCTAGGTAGGATACTACGCCGCATGAAAGCACAGTTACTAAGTGTAATGAGCAGTTGTGCTTCAATCCCTGGAGCATTCTCGCTGACATTGCAGTCTCCAATATCTTCATCTGGATCACGAAGGCTTAGCTTCTCAAGCGACTGATTAGGTGAAATTTTTTTTAGAAGCAGCTTAAAGGGGTTGATCATTCTTCTACAAAATAAGATTTTGGTGTGGCATATCAATGGATAAACTTAATATTTATTTTTTGGGGTTTAGAAAGTGTAAAAGTAAATATAGATGACACTGGCAACATGATGACCTGATACTATACTTTACTATCAAATGAATCTAGCATTTCATTTTAATATGATGAATACATTACTCCATTAATGTTAAAAGGTACTTTTTTCTTTCTTTTTTCTTTTTACAGGGATTAGCCCACCTGGGCACAGGTCAACAACCCAAAACAGGGCCTAGGGGGCAAAAAAACAAGAATAGCAAGAAATTAAAAATAGAAAATGAAAAGGTTATATTAATCTACACCAAGAAGATGCTGGAAAACCAGCTTTTTAAAGTCAGACAGATTGTATGAGTATGGAAAAACAGAAGAAGGCAGAGCATTCCACAATTTGGCTGTGTGAGGAAAGAAGGAGGTACTATAACGGGTTATTCTAATGTAACCGACATCCACAGAGAAACGGTGGGCACCGCGGGCAAGACTTGTGTTACGAACCCACGGCCCAGCCAGCGGTACACAGGATGCCAAATCCACCGAACATTGCCCGTTAAAGTGCCTGTAAAAGAGAGAGTGAAGCAACATTGCGGTGAAGAGAAAGGGAAGAGAATTGTCGACTAAAGGAGGAGAGTTAATAAGACGAAATGCCTTTGATTCCACCCTATCTAACAGTTGGACAGAAGAAGAGCCACCCCAGATATGAGAGCAGTACTCCATGTTACAACGAATGAATCTCTTATATACTTGAAGCAACTGCTCAGGAGTGAAGTAGCTATGGCATCTGTACAGCATTCCCAGCTTTTGGGATGCAGCTTTAGCAATTTTGAGTATGTGTGACTTTCATGACATATTAAAGGAAATGGTGAGGCCTAGCATATCTATTTTAGAATTTGGCAGAATGATTGGGATATACTATATGTAGAAGGAAGGTCCGATGAAAGTTTAATTAATTGTTCCTTTTTTTTTTTTTTACTATTATCCAACTCACTTATTATTCCATGCCACAGTACTATACCAGGAAGAAAGGAGCCTAATACATGAGTTCATACTATTGAATACTGTATGTACAGTCGGCCACAAGAATAAGTATACACACTGTAGCTCTAAGGTCCGAAAATGGTCTGGTAACGTTGAAAATGCACATCCAGACACTTGATGAAACTCAGCTCCCACCTCCTGTTATCTCTAACTACAGTAAGACTTTGTATTTTGCGAGTAATATAGACTAAAAAAAATGTGCCAAATTCAAATTCGCCAAATGCAAATGCATAAACTAATGAGAAAATTAACAATATAGACTGGCCACTCTACATCAACCACTGATTTTCCCATTTATAGCCTCCAAATGATACAAATTCTGCCTTTATTGACTTGATTGTGCTTTGCAGACTAATTTTTAGGCCTTCCTTAAGTAACTTATCACACGCTGCTTATCCTGCATCGAGTACTTGGCAAACTTAACTCCCTGATGATAGTCCCACTTCTCCTTTTCCTTATTTGACGGCTTAGGTGGATCTGTCCCACCCCCACCAGCACCAGTAGGACCCCTAGTAGAGGTTGAGGCCATTATCTTGACTCGACAGGTGGTAGCACCACCCAAAAAAGCACACACTAACGGCCCGGGCGGTCGCTAGGACGGCGCGGGCTGCAACGCGATAGTTGCATTTTTGTAAACCTCTTTTACGCTCACCACCGGCAATTCCATCACCTGAACGCTTCTTGGAAACATTCTTCTTACCTTGTCTTTCCATATTCATCGATAACACAACCAAACTGGAGAAAACAGTGAAAATCACGGAACAATTGACAGAAACAGAGTGATTCAACTGATCAGGTGATGTAAACAGAAAGCGTTGATGTAAACAGTTATTAGTCCTCACTGCGAAACATTCTTTTTACTTATTCTTTTCATACAGTATTTATGGGTAACAGCTAAATTTGCAAAAAAAAAAAAAATTTACAGAGTACCTCTCAAAAAACACTTCACAAACAAAAGACACGAATCAATTCAACATGTGATGTCGAAGGTGAACTGTAAACATTGCATAACCCCGCGCCACGCTTAAAACAATGAGGATGGAATCAAAACATTGAAGATGGAATGGCGCTATCGCCAACATTCGCATGCAAAAGTTCGCATTTTACAAACAGCGTTCCCCTATTCATCAATTGCGTTAAACCAATTCGCGTTGACCAAAGACGCATTGTAGCAGAAATGACTATAACTGGTATGAGGGCTATGACGTCATTCAAGACGGTGGCCAGCATTCAGCTTGCTGGATCTCGTGTTCAGCTGGCTGGACCTCGAGAAACTCACAATACTTTACGCCAAATATAAGACTTGGTTACATTAGGTAGTGCTCGTGAAATTCAAAAGCGCGAAATATGAGATCTTACTGTAATTTCTGTTTCCCTTCTTTATTCTTCTATTTACTCCTCTTCCTTCCTTTACTAATCCAAACATCAGTAAAAAAAAGTAGGGTAAGGGAAAAGCGGGGGAGGCGGAGGGAGCTGTACGATAACTGCAATCCCATTTGGCAACAAGTTTACTACCATTGAATACAATACAGTCGGCCCTTCACATACGCGGGTTTAGCATTCACGGATTTGCAAATACGCGGATTGCCCTGCTGGAGGAATATTCTGTACATTGAAGTAATTGAAGTACATTCAAATTGCGCGCCATTCAACTCGCGCGTGGCACCGAACACGGGACACCGCCCGCTCCCGCAACCTCACACACACACACACACACACACGCATAGCTCTCCCTCACTCAGTCAGTCTCGCTGTAACCACGCTTGTGTTGACATCAGCATTGTAGTTGCAAAAATATTACATTTCCGTGAATGTATTATATCAAGCACAGTATGAATAGAATATCACTAATATAAGAGTATTTTAACCGAAAACTACTAAAAAAACGAGTAACATATCTTGAACATCGGAAGGTTAGGTAAAGTCTCTTGTTTTCGTCATGTATTTTATCCTATTTTACATTGAAATACATCACGTTTCAGCAAAATTACTATTTATTTCTGAGAATATATTCATTCAGGCACAGTTAGGTAAAATATACATGTGCTGTAACATTTTTTTAATTGAAAACGACTCGAAAAACACGTACCCTCTAGCCCTGTTCAAGGAGAAGACTGGGAGGAGCTGTTTGGTGCTTAAGACGATGACAAGGAAAATGATTTTGATGGATTTTAATGAAAATATTCAGAAAGACCCTGGCACTGTCAAGGAAAGTGGCTGCTGAAGGCTTCCGGGACATGGCAGAGGACGAGATTAGGGAGCTAATTGAAGAGCACAACACTGAGCTGACTGAGGAGGATCTACAGGAGTTAGTAGACTCAGGCAAGGAAGAGGAAGAGGAAGCAAAAGGGAAAGAGGATGAGGAAGAGGAAGAGCACCAAGAAATAACGTTGGAGAAGTTGGAGGAGATGACCAGGAATATTGAGACACTGAAAAACCTGGCCTATAGTATGGACCCCTCCATGGTGCGTGCCCTGAAATTCATGCGAGGGATGGATGACGTTTTCGCTCCATACAAAAACATCATGGAAGAAATGAATGAAAGAGACGACAACTCCCCATCACCATGTTCTTTGATCACCGAAGGAGAGATTTAACACCAATCACTGGCAGCAGTGAGGAAGGAGCTGAATCCACCGTCGCCCACACTTCACCACCCGTTATGGAATTGAGTGACGATGACCCCCGTCCTGTCGCCGAGGATAGGAACTGTACAGTAAAGTGAAGTTTTTATCTCTTTTTTTTTAATAGCTTTTCTTGCCATGTTTATTGTTTGTAAAAATGTACAGCACAGTACAGTTCAGTACTGTACACAGGAAGTGGAGGTGCAGTTATTCACAAAACATTTGTTGTCGGCAGTAGTGACGGTGGAGGTGGAGGAGGGAGCGAGTTGGAAAGAGTGGTGACCTTGGATGCGGGAGCAGGGACGAGATGCCAGCCAGTACATTACGGGTGTATTAATTGTTTTTATAGCTATTTTTGCTTTTTAATATTAAATACTGTACATTACGTTTCAACAAAACTACCATTTATTTCTGAGAACATGGAAATGTAATATTTTTGCTGAAATGATGTACGTATTACAGTGGAAAGTGACGAAAGCAATGACTCGCTTTCTTTTGTTCAAAAGATGTTACCGTAATCGCTTTTCGAATGGTTTTCAGTTGTGGGATTATAAGGCTAATGATAGGATAGAATATTATTGTAATACAGTACGAGTACAGTACAACAGTTTTTTAACTGAAAACCATTCGAAAAGCGATTACGGTAAAATCTTTTGAACAACGAAAGAAAGCTTAAGCCATTGTTTTCATAATTTTATCCCACTTTCCACTGTTCAGTAATATGTACGTCATTTCAGCCAAAATATTGCATTTCCATATTTATTTCTGAGAATACAGTGGCCCCTCGGTTAACGAACTCAATCCGTTCCAGAAGGTCGTTCGTTAACCGAAACGTTCGTTAACCGAAACCATTGTTTCAATGGGTTTTTGGGTAATTGGTTCCAGCTCACCGAAAATTTCCTAACTTCAACAAAAATGGCGGAAAAATTTACTTACTTTGAGGTGTGTATGTAGAAGGCTCCTGGATGATGGTGATGATGTGCATTTGAAGTGGGAGGTGCAGGAGGAGAAGGGAGAAGAGAAGGAAGTGGAGGTGGAGGAGAAGCATTTTACTGCTTCTTGGAAGGTGAGTCACCTTCCATGAAAATGTCAGGAACCTCTGGACTGACAGATTCTCCACCATGAACATCCTCTCTCCTTCTTGAAGTGGAAGGCTGAGGGCTAGCATCTTGTTCCCTCTGCCTTTTACTGAAGAAAGTGTCAATTGTGGTCTGTGGGGCATCTGTCCTCCTCACCATTAACTTATGTTTAAAGAAGGAGA